GACTCTGAGCGTTAGTGTACATACAGGACAGCTGCTTGAGCACCAAAAGAGCTTGTGGAGGATTACACGAAGTTGAATTTAAGCCGGCCGATGAAAGGCCGGCACCTGATCGTTTTTGCGCAGTTTATCGATGAACATATTGCACGTGCCTGCAGCCCGCCTAACGTCGTTCCTGCACACGCAGTACGCTCTTCAATGGCGTCGTTTTCAGTGATTGGTAATCTTGATGCAGTGTCTTCGGCTTCGTTTATTTTATCACATTGAGCCACAGATGGTGTCACACCCTCCGGGGGCTTCGATTCAATAAATGGTACCTTAAATCGTAGTTCCGATGGCAGTGCATTGTGCATTTTATGCCAGTTACGCATTAAGTTCGCCGCCATCTGCTGGTACTGAACCACAAGTTTCAGTATCCTTGGACCATTACCTTTGTAATGAGGTGAAACGGGCAGTCTAGAAATCGACTGAAGGATGACGTCACCTGCAGATAGAGTTTCACGGATGTACCGCCATTCTTCCAGATCGTGAGCATGAGCCGCCTCGTCCCTAGCTGTTGGTAGCTCGGGCACACCATGAACTAAAATGGTTTTTCGCCAGCTGGCCGTGTTGCGATCGTCTAAATTATTTTTTTCTCGCTGACGTTCGTTCCATGGAACATCCGGAAAGATGCGGATCTTACTGTCTTCACCTCGGAGGTGATATGCCGATAAGAGCACCGCCTCTACATCGTCAGCGGATGCCAGTTTTATCCGCAGAATTCTGGGCTCACCATAATGAACGGAGTTTGGATGTCTCGTCACACGCGTGATGTTAGTCGGCTTGACCCTAGCACCTATGCGATCGCAAATGAGATTCCACTGGTTCAGATCATCCTGTTGCTTACCTCTCAGGGAATTTGTTTTGGATTCAGGAACGTTGGTGCATAGGAGTGTTAGAGCACCGTAGTTCCTCCTGGTGTTCGGCAATGTGGGAGACGTCGTGATGGATGGACTAAAACAAGTCTCTGAATTTCGTGCTTGGTCTTTTACACACGTCGCAGATATTGTGCTTAAAGTCTTGTTTACAGTGTGTCTAGCAATAGTCGCGTGAGTTGATTGGCCTTTAGAGATACTCAGACTTTGTAGGTCAGTCGGAAGTCTGGTTCTTACCGAGGCTTTGGATAAGAGCGGAATGGTTGAGGAACTGAGGATGTGTTGTTCGTACGTGATGCCTGATTGGTTCGGGGTTCCCAAGATATTCGCCGCTGTGATTTCGCGAGAACGTCTGGCTCTTTTCTTCGGTTTAGTGGCGGTGAGTACGGGAGATGGTGGAGATACAAACCTTGCTATAATAGCCTCTAAGGAAATAATTCTTTCATTTAGACGTAATTCTACTTCTGCAGTCCAACGGTCGTAATCTTTCGACAAAGCAATTACGCATTTTTACTATGGGAACCGTTGTGCAATTAAGACAGAACGAAACAGACTCGGACAGATTGTTGTGCTTGTTAGCCTCAGTAATCGGACTATGATTAACGGAACACAACGCACAATGCTGGCCCGATTCCACTGTCTGGGCAAGTGACTCAGCTCCACTTGTAATTTCTCCCCTTGTTACATTGGTCATGGTCGGCTGCAGCGAAGTGGCACGGCCCGGTTCACGGGCTAGTTTGGTGTCGTGCGTGATAGGTGTGCTTCGCCCTCTTGTCCGCTTGTGGTCGGAGGATACGTTGATCGACTTACGCGTGATGGGCCTGTGCGTCATGCGGTCACGTTTGAATAGGCCGTGTAGGACGTGCTTGGGTCGTCTGAGTGATTGAATTGATCTGGCCGAGATGCAATGGCGATCGTGAAGTTTGCTGGGCGCTTGAGTGCGCAAGTTCGAAATGAATTTCTTCTGTAACTGTTATGCACAGTGGTGCTGTGAAGCGACTGAAGGCTTGCTAGCAAGCGGAAAGATTTCTCTATCGAATGATGTAAAAATCCGAAGGGTTGTAAAAAAATCCACAAAAAGCTGCAGACTGAAAATGTTTTGCGTGTGAATTCCCCGGCAAACTCCGAGAAAAACACAGACACAAGCTAGAGGTTGAAGCGATGGGAATAATCCGGGTGGAATGGATCCACGGTGTAGAGTAGATGATTCCGAGTAGAATGAATGCACGCTAGGTGCTATGCAGTGAAATGGTGATGAATGGTCCACAAAAAGGCGAGAGCCGCGAGGATATGTGTGATGTCAATCACCGGGTTCACAACAGACCATGTTCAAATTTCTTACTTAGTTTTCTAATGCCGAGAAGACCATGCATGCCTCTGTATCATCCTCCAAGTCATTTAAGATGAGGGGAGTGGGGTTCGTTGGCCAGCACTTCATGGCCTCATAAGCTAGCCCACTTTTGTATCTCGGAACGATAACTGATGTTTCCAAATGCTGTGGGTCTAAGCGGTTGTCAAATGATAGCCTGAAAATGTTTAACGAGAGGATAAGGAGATTACGACTAGCGTGTTTAGTCGGGGGTGTTCGGAGCCCATCGGTTCCTTAATGTTGTGATGAGCTCGGACGCGAAATTTATGCCCATACATTTACAGTAGTGAACTGAATGTTACAGTTTGGCCTGCTATCTTCTAGTGTCATTAGTGAGCATTTCGAGTCAACATGTTGAAATAGCTAGTTTATTAGAGCTAAACTGTCTCGAGAACATCAGCCTTTCTGAGCCAACCCTATGGGGTTACTATACCATTTCCGACTCATGTTAGGCCATACAGGTAGCGACTTAAGCTAACGAGCTATCAACTTAGTCTGGTACGCTAACAGGTTACTCCTTCCGATGAACTAAGTTAAGTCAGGCTACTGTGACATGCGCGCACCGTCGTGTGGGTGGTTCCTTAGGCAAGCGCTGTGGGCCAATAACATGTCGAATGCATAGTAGACATAGCAACGTGTACGCATGTGTAGGGTAGGTGGGTTAGGGGAATCACTACAGCCCGGAGTTTGCTCGTGTGCGACTTGGTACATGGGCGGTGACGGATTCCATGACGGCGGATGGGGGTAGTAAATCGTTAACATCTGAGGTCACCCACGGCAGGCTAAGAGGAAACGGGGTCAGTGTATGATAAGGAATTTGAGCGCGATTCACAACGCCATTATAACAGAGCCTGTTATGGAATCGGGTCACTGGCTACTCGCATTCTGACACGGCCGACAATCCGTGTCACTAAGCTAAACCCCAGGCGCTTGTCCGTACGATCTATTGCGTGCTGTGAACACATGGCGCGCACCGGGCACTAGGCACAATACGAGTGGCGCATTGAAGCGCGTTGGCCACAGGTGACTTTGGTCACACCGCTAAATCGCATGTGCACCGGTAGACATAGGCACATGCACTGGTGAGATGGTACCAGCGCAGAAATCTTTCTGGCGTCCTACGATTGCGATGGGCGATGTATCAAGGTGGAAAATAAGGTGGTAATGCAGCTGAAATATGAGTTGTCTTGTTCCACGGCTAGCATGCAATGCGCCTCAAAGCAACGTGTAAAAGTTACACGGAGTATTGTTTAGTAGAGGCAATTAATTGAATGCTGAACAAGTCCCGTAGGTAGGTAGGGGGTAGACCACAAAATCCAAAGATTATAGTGATACCACAGTTAGGCGTATACTAATGCTGCGGGGATACTATGATTTGCTATGGGTAGAGAAGTAGTGATGCAAGGCGACGCTCACCAGTGCATGTGCCTATGTCTACCGGTGCACATGCGATTTAGCTGTGGGACCAAAGTCACCTGTGGCCAACGCGCTTCAATGCGCCACTCGTATTGTGCCTAGTGCCCGGTGCGCGCCATGTGTTCACAGCACGCAATAGATAGTACGGACAAGCGCCTGGGGTTTAGCTTAGTGACACGGATTGTCGGCCGTGTCAGAATGCGAGTAGCCAGTGACCCGATTCCATAACAGGCTCTGTTATAATGGCGTTGTGAATCGCGCTCAAATTCCTTATCATACACTAACCCCGTTTCCTATTAGCCTGCCGTGGGTGACCTCAGATGTTAACGATTTACTACCCCCATCCGCCGTCATGGAATCCGTCACTGCCCATGTACCAAGTCGCACAGGAACAAACTCCGGGCTGTAGTGATTCCCCTAACCCACCTACCCTACATGTGCGTACACGTTGCTATGTCTACTAAGCAGCCGACATGTTATTGGCCCACAGCGCTTGCCTAAGGAACCATCCACACGACGGTGCGCGCATGTCACAGTAGCCTGACTTAACTTAGTTCATCGGAAGGAGTAACCTGTTAGCGTACCAGACTAAGTTGATAGCTCGTTAGCTTAAGTCGCTACCTGTATGGCCTAACATGAGTCGGAAATGGTATAGAAAATATCCCTTGCTCTGCACTTGGGTATCAATTAGGCGTGAACGTGAATTTGCACTACCGATAAGCTCGACGTTGACCTATTTAAACCGTCTCAATCTGAGGGATCAAGTACGCCTCGTGTTTGCCAATTGTACGAGTCGATACCATACAACAACCTTTTCCACCAACCTTTTGCACACAAAGCGTTTTGCTGAGTCCTCATGCAGGTGCATTCCCAGATGGCTTTTTAGTGGTTTAGGACCACTAGCCACAATTTTTTTAGTACTGGTCATGAAAACATATATACTACCGTATCAACAACTGCTCACTCTATCTTGTTAAAACTCTTCAGCTCGTATTTCTTGTCTCATGTAGATGGTTCTTCTTGCTTTATTAAAATTCGTGAAGGCAAATGCCTGCATGAAATTTCATATAGATGTGTTTGACGAGTTTTAGAGTTGGCATTGCTAATACAAAAATGGTTGATTAGTGGACATTTATGTTTCCGACCATGTCAAGTCAAGCACCCCACAAAAATAAGGGGAATCGCGAGTGTTTTCCTTTTCCGGTCCAACTTGGTACCGAAGTACCCTGAAGGCTAACATCCATTTCGCCACGACTTCTATATAGGATAATTAAAGTGAAAAGTCAGGCCAACAGCGGAAAAATTGGCTTACCATGAGTGAGTAAACGATTGAAATCCTTCGGTGTCAGCCCCGAAAGCCAAATATCCAAATTGTGCGAACGCGAAGTATACGATGCAAAACATGACCAGAAACCCGAACAGATCCGCAGCAGCTTCGCTCAACGTTTTCGTTAACTGACCCAGCGATTTGTCGAAGTTGACGTATTTAAATATCTATGGAATAGATAGAAGGGTATGGGGTCCTTTAGTGTTAAAAATTATAATGTGTCAGCTGTAGGCCGTAATGACGCTTCGCTGCCACGCGAACCCCACCAGTCGTGCGCGGGCTGGATACACCGCGAGGACGCCCACCCCTATGTGGATTCGAACCGGTGACCTTATGGTTACAAACCTGGCCGCGCAGACCACTCGGCCACTGGCAGGCTCTTCATCAAACGCCATCTGGTCAACTCGTTCGTCACTGTGGGTCATAATTCTGTACTGTTGACTCAGTTTCAGACTATTGCCTCCAACATTGGTGTTTGGACTGTGTTTCAAAAAGTGGAGGCATACATGACTGAGGTCGCCCAGTAGTTGTAAAACTAATATAAGTCTCCACCTAGCTGCCATCGTTGTGGTGTACATTGCGCACAGCGAATGCCAACATAGGCTAGCTAACTGAAACAATTCAAGTTTAAAGCCGATGCAAGTGGACATATGCTTTCAATAATTCCTCTTCAGGATCGTACCATTATATACGAAAAAATACAAAATGTATAACACAACGTAAGAGTTGGTAAGATTAGTGCGGTTCACAATCACTGATCAAGCAGAATCACTATCCGTTAGGTCACAAGTGCGGTGTACAAGCAATTCCGTGAGCTAGGTGTCGCATTTCGGTTGGGCCAAGGCGGTTTGAATGTCTGAACCCACAACTCCGGCTCATACTGCCTAATCGCTAGGGCCCCAGCGAACTCAAGCAAACGCCTACAGACGCACTTTGATCGATTGTCTGGTGCCTCATAGGCTATCGAATGACTCAGCTAAACTGGTGATATGGCCAGTGTCGGCAAGATGGGTGGCTATGGATGAGTTGATTGGTTTTCAACAAGCAGTCATGAGCCAGCCCGGGTGGTGTTCCTTCACCCTCTCAGACAGGCGGCTCGTCGTTTGTCGAGTGCGCGAACACAACTACCATTTCCAGCAGCCCACGTTTGTGGGCTTTATTGATTTTCGAGCTACGTTTGACTCAGTTGACCGCGAAGCACTGGAGATTCCTACTTACCGACGACGTGCCGGTTAAACTCGTTAACTTGATGAGATCATACTGCCGTTGCATGAACGCCCGGATGCGGGTCTATGGAGAAGAAACGGAGGAATTCGACATCAATACTGGAGTCCGCCAGAGTTGCCCACTTGCTCTAGTGCTGCTCAACTTCGCAATCGACTGGGTTATGCATCATACCCTTGAGAACTGTCGTGGTGTTCAAATTAGCCCTGACTTCTGGCTGTCAGATCTAAACGATATCACTATCCTCGCGGAAGATGTTATATCACCACAGTCACTGCCAAATCGGGTCGACCAATCAGCCACTATGGGCGGTCTCGAACTTAACATCAGCAAGACGAAATAGTTCCCATTGTTAACCACCCAATCCGCCCTGTCGCTCTCCTTACACGGACAACCATCGAATCTGTTCCTGAGTTCAAGTATCTTGGATCCACTAAACTCCCCAATGGTCAGGCTACAACCGAAATCTGGAATCGTAATGACAGCGCTAGAACAGCCTGCTTACAACTGAGAAACACATTTTGGCGAAGGACGGAAATTAGTCTGAGAACAAAGATCCGAGTATTCTCAGCAACCATTCGTGTCATTTTACTCTATGGTTGCGAAACATGACAGCTGCGATCCGAAGAAACCCAGAAGCTGGAAGTTTGCAGCCATTGGTGTCTAAGGCTTATCTTGAAAACGCAGTGTATCACCAATGACGAAATCCGTAAGCGCTGTTACGGACTTCCGAAGCTTACAATGCTCATCCAACACCGCAGACTTCAGTGGTTCGGTCAGGTCCTCCGCAGACCAGACACTGACTTCACTAGGGCAGCGGTTTCACCCTCGCCTTGCCAGAACTGGTGTCGTCACCGTGGTGGACAAGTGAAAACGTGGCCCACAGCCGTGAAATCGGATGTCGATCTTCTGGGAATCCATGTTGTGCATGCTGCTTGTCACTGGAGGAATTATTGGATCGGGATCTACTTGGAGCTTGCTGTCGACCGCCGCGCTTTGGCAGCTGCAATTCGCGACATTCAAGAAGCCGGCTCATCCTGTCGCAGGAGCTGGCCGCAGTAAAGTAAAGTAAGTAATGTAACAGGAACTGGAGGAAAAATAAATTCACACTGATTTGGCGTGGACGGGCGTCTTGTCTTTGGGGCTAGTTCTAAACATTGGGCTACCGATGACCTGGATTTCAAGTTCAGCCGGAGAAACGAGTACGGTGACTGACAAAAAATGTCTATTTTGCGCGAAGTTCGCACCACCGTAGCAAATGCTGCTTTCGGAATCAAGTGAACCCAATAACCGGTGAGAGTGAGTTCACTTTCTTGTTATCCTTACATAGTAGTTTCATTACACCGTGAAACTGGTCCGTAAGTGACTAACTATTTGATATTCTGCACTCTCTATGCTGCACTCCATGAAGGGCTATGTAGTCATGTGCACGAGTCGGGTAGAGATAGCAACGATGCCGTGCGTTTAAAGTATGTAACTGTTTAGAATGAGATTGCGTTTCTTACTTCATTCACGTAACAAGGGCTTCAAAATACCGCACAAACTGGTTAGTGAACACTTCCACTAGAAAGAACCAAGCGTGGTTATGGTTACTTGACATGATGAGAATTATTTCATGACTTCGCAATTTCGCAATTTGTTCTGAGGTATCTTAGCATATAAGCTGTTCCCAACCGAAAAATGTACTTTTGCTGTTTGTAAATTTGTGCCTGGTATCTGTTAATTGGTTGTCCGTCTCGTGTGCAGGCTGTGAAATTTACAATTCTCGACTTCACCTCATTTGCAACAGTGGGTTTAGTGGCATATACAAACAAGGACTGGTTGAACATGAAACTATTTAGTGCTGAACTGAAAACAGGGATCACAGTGAGGATTCTAATTGTTAACAAATTGGGAGAATCGAGTAAGAAGAACGGGTCTCTGCATGAATTCAACATCCCTTGATGTTTGCACACACAAGTATCCAGTGGGTTGAATAAAATAACATGCGAGTAAGCTTTAGGTAGGAAAAAAGCCGCGGAATCGGTATAGACTTAACCTTAGGTCGAATGCTGGTCTCAGACAGTTTTAACGAAACGTTCACAAAGCATACGAAGATCTATTAGAATGAGTTAGTTCCTTTACCCTACCCAGTGGCAAAGTTCACGCAGCTTAGTCACCGAGTTCTGTGAGGTAATGCAGCGTATGCAGACGGGTATCGAGATAAGGTGTAAATGACGCACGAGAGGAGGAACCCTCGAAAAGTTTGGTCACAGGTCCGGCGATGCGACAACTGCAGATATTGCTGCTAGTTTCGAGGTACTATGCGGCCAAGTAAACCTACCACCGGAACTGAAAAGCTATTAAGAATACGCTTATTCATAACAGCGATGAAAAGTGTCTGTCCATCTCGAAGAAAAAAGGAAGCACATAAAATGTGAAAACCGATAAGTCAACCATTATCCTAATTATGGACAAAAAAATCAGGTTATAGAGGAATTATGAACAGTAAATTACATGAAGTTGAGGCTACCCCTGTGAGGTAACAGTTTACCACCGTATAAAACTCTACTTAAAGTCGGAGATAACAACTGAACTAAACAAAACATTGAAAATGCTGAAAATTGCACCAAAGCTTGAATGCAGCAAATTATACACAGCGAACTCGTGGACGGCGAAAAGCGTATGAGAATGGCGTACGGCCACTATCACGCACGTTGTTAGAGATAACGGCAACCTGTAGCTATGCGTGAAAAGTATGGAGGGTCTTCAGGCCTTTACTTAGTGAATTAGCATACTACTAGCATATAAAACACTTGTTAGCGAAGCCTAGGGGCATCTGAATTGATAACGACGAAACAATGATGCCTTTCCACCTGACCGCCCTGTGGGGTCTATCGACTTGTAAATGAAAAGACGCGCTGTTACAGAACGCCCCGACCACAGTGAACGGCCAGCCTATATACTGACGATGTTCACATGCCGGCCTTTTCAACCTTCAATGATAAGTTACACTGGGTCCCAGTCCCTATTGCTGAGCGCTGTGCAAGACTGGGAGTGTACGACAACAACTGTGAATCCATTATGTTCACCATGCTTGTGTAAAACGGAGACCCCACCAAGGGTAACGCACAATCCAGTTGGTCAGAAACTCTATGCATGACATTAGGTTCACTACTGAACTGGGAATTGACAGCAACCTTCCGACGTGAAATTCAGTGGAGTGGTTGAAGAAGGATTGCAGGTAGAAGTCAAATACACACACAAACCAAATCCTGGACTTCAGCGGCAACCACCAAACTGTCATGTAGGGGATTCCAGCTAGTAAGATGAAATACATACAATATTACTGCAACTAAACAAGCAGGAAGGAAGCATTCACTCCAGTCTACTATGTTCACCAGATAGCTATGTAGTTTGTCTGAAGACGCGTCAGTCGAAATGCAGCTAACGGCGAGCCTCGATATAACTGACAGGAAACGCCTCATTTACTGCATCTGGATGAGAGGTGGGAATTGGCAAGCGAACTATTCAGCCAACACTGCGAGCGACCAGAAATTTGTGTGATTTCAACAACGATGGAAGGGTCTCAGAAGACACAATGTAAAATAGCTACAAGTAGGAATACAAATACCTACAGGCATGCGGAAGCACAAAAGTACCCATTAGACATATTGCTCGATTCCTTAAGTCTTGGGGACCCGGCGGAAGATGGGTATACTTTGAGTGAATCAAAACGGTTATCCCGATGCAAAGTGGATCGAAATAAGGAAAGGCATCTTCGAAAGCCTGCTTTCCAAGTAAAAAGCTACAAACATGTGAACTAACCTTGCAATAGGATGAAAGAAAGCAGCCGGGCTAAAGTCGCCATTTACCGAAGAGTAAAACAGTGAGTTGAAAATCAACAAGAACGCTCGAATAACGCCAGTCCCACAGACCTGTGATAATCCTCCATCTAGAGTAACAGAAGTGCCACAGTAATCCACTGCCATTAGTCAAGCCTACGCCGATACTAATATCGAAGTGCAAAACGTTTACTATTCATAAGGAACCCTACTAATTTCCACGCACCGTCGATACAAACTCGTTTAATGACCACAAGTTGTCAACCTAAGTGCCAAGCTTGGATCACGATGGAACACCCGTGAAGCCGACCCGAGCTACTCCCATTCTGACTTGCGCCTGTCCTTCTGACTGAACCTGTGTTTATTTCTTCTATCCAAGACCTAAGAAATCCACTCACTAACTAGCTATTTTCGGCCGAATACTGCGGCGATACTCATAGTGAACAGTTGTGGCGGTTCATGAAGGCAAGTACTTCGTTGGATATCTGGACTTAATCTCCAAACTAAATCAAGTAGAACAACAACTGGGGCACTCGAATTCTTCTGAGTGATTACCGCAACTATATCTACCCAAGTGGACCCACCTAGCGAAAATGCGAACAGATTCAATCCTCAGATAGAGTAACATTGTTACATCGCACTGTCGTTTGTGCCGGTGTGGCTTCACACCAACGAGGGCCATAAAGCAATCCGAATTCTATCTAAGGATGTGCAGTCCCAGTGAGTAGAGCATTTCAAACAGTTGTCTGTCGTTTGGCATTCCTCAGTGCTTGACGCGAAGAATGCGAGATTTAAAGTTGTCTAGCTACTTAGTTGCCCCGATTCTGATAACACTCTCGCTAATGATTACTGCATCTGCCAATACAGAAGCTTCGTTATTGAAAGCAATTGTTTAACTAGCTGAATGTTCATTTTTGACGATCAAAACAGGAAATGCGTACCAAGCCGTATCGCACAACGCAAAAGATCACCAGTCATCTTATCTGCTCCCACGAGGAAAAAATACGAAGTGGGTATCTAAATCGCGGAATATGACAGCCAATACTAAGTGTAACCGGTCCTCGCAAGGTGAAAGATTGGAGTTCGATGTGTGTTGCATCCGTAGCCTTTGTTGCTTCCTATCAATCTTACCTTCTTGTTCCCCTCCAGTACTACTTGTCCTGTCCTCTTCCATACTCTCCTTGATGTTCCCCCTAGCTCTGCTTCTTACTATGTGGTTGGGATTTGAGTATCCAGCCACCTACGAGTTATTTATTTAGTATTGCAGCTGCAAGCGTCTATTACTACATGCTGTACTGATTGGACACCGAAGAATATGGAACGCCGGACAGGAGGAATATTACAATAAGTACCACCAAAAATTCCGACACATTGAATTATCTTCCTTTTTGATGAATGTTCAACTGAGCTTCGACCTCGTTCGTTACTCCGCGTGAGACTAACTCAACTGATGCACTCTAACGTCCTTCCCGACAAAACAATCCGGTTAGCTCATGCACTTGACTTCGTGAGATACTCAATTATTAATTGATAAATCGATTAACTATTGCACTCGTTAAAAGAAGGAAGATATAGAGCAATCTGTATAAGAAGCTGTTTCCTAAGTATAAACTCCAGACTTTGTCATACATTTCGAACACTTAGTCGCATATAACCAATTCTCCTACCTAGTTCGAAGATAAGCTACGTTAGGTTGGATGCCTACTAGCATGGCCAAGGTTACTTGGCGTTAGGTGTGCGGTACATAGTTTGCTCAGAAATAATCTAACTGCTTTGCTCAGTTGTTTCTGTTCATTAACACCGAATAATTCACTCTTCTTTGCGACGCCTCAGTAATTGTCCACATTTCCAAACTTCTATCTTTCAGTAACAACTTGGAAGAGTTGACCGAGTCCCCTTGGTAAAGGGACACCAAAAATGATTTTTGCTAGTTACATGATTCAGCTTCACCTCTTGATCGCTCTATCGTGGTGCATGTGACTGGCTTAACTATTTGAGTAAAGTTCAGCCACCGGGTCCAGCCAACGGTCAGCTCTGTCTGTGTACGCCTCGCCATGTGAGATCGATCTAGCTAGCGATTTTCTGTAATAGTTATTGAGAATAGTCAGTAACCCCTTAGAATCTTGGAATGGACAATGAATGTAACAATTTGGATTAGGTCCGATCAATATCTGTTCTGGGTTGCCTTTATGACACTAACATTCAATCATTCCTTGGAACTGTTTCTATGCTACTTTTGCTGTCTAATCGTTGTTATTGAGACACAATCGGGGGAGGGGTATACAGATCCGTTTGAGGGGTGGAAACACGTGGGTTTTTCAAGCACTTTTTTTATTTACACTCTGTCCCACCATGCATGGATGGATAACAGCAAAAATTCAGTTAATGACATTTAGGCTAAGACACTTTATCATAACGAGCATAACGGTTACTCGGGATACTGGCGACCGTATGTTTGTTCATCCGAGTTTGTTGTTCGCGTGCTACATCACCGCTTGTTTTCCCACATAATACACAGTAGCTATAATCGGTTCACTCTTAGGCTGCGTGTTGTCCCATGATCACCTCGCTGATTGAAGCTCACTGTCTACCAAGTAAAGGTGGAGCAGATACCGTTACTCTGTGGACACCACCGTAATTCCAGTATGGTTAAGCGCATCAAACACCGATTCCAAAGTGTACGGAGACATGCAAAATGAAGCTGATGAGGTATGCTAAATGATAATATGTACATAGCCCGGAATGTGACGCATGTGACTCACCTTGAGAATGACAAGAAACACACACATTGCGGTGGCTCTGGCGAAATGTGCATACCAGTAGCTGAGTCGATCGAAATGAGGATACGAGTCCATGTTTTCTAATAGTTGGTTCATCACCTGAACAGCCGCCACGTTGCTACACACAGTGAAGATTGCACAGGTCACGCTGACTCCAAGTACAGCCACATCCAGCAGATTCCAAACATCGGACAGGTAGCGCCACTTCATTTGTATTACCTGAAGCAGATGTCGAACACGATATACAATCTTCTCTAATAGCCGCTGATTTAGTTTGTTACGTAGGTACACAAAGAGTATTTGCTCAGCTGCGCAAACAATCGAACTGGTAATGCTACTAACCCTTCCGAATGATACCAAAAACCTAAATGCCCCGCATGATTTGCAACACATGTTGAGAAACGAACAGAAAATCTAAAACATTCTGGTCCATAGTTTACAGTGGACAGGACTATATAAGTTTATCTGATTCTTTGGCTTCCTTATTCACCCATTTTCCAAGTTAAAGCAATAAATATTCTTTCGTAGTAAGCATCGTTGTCAGACCACTTGACAGCTCTTACATATCCACCAAAGCAGCGTTCAACGCTAGCAAAACATTCCTAAGACAACGGATTTATATGACAACTCGACACCTGAATGAAATCCGCTTTCATTCTAATCGGCTGAGCTGGGAGCTGCAGACCGCTATAAGGTAGACAGACTATGATAGACTTTACAACAAGGCCTCAGAAGTGAAGTCAACACAGGAGAGAGCTGAGAAAGAAAGACAAATTCGTAAGTTCGATCATGTGATGAATGTGCATACCAGGACCACTAGTCTCGTAGATAGGTCTGAATCTAGCAGTAAATATTACAATGTAGTTAATATGTCAGATAGGTTGTTGAGTGAGACGGAACGTATATTACTGCAAATGGGTTTGAACCTTTCTGTAAATAAGTCTAAACTAATCACAGAAGCTTTTCCTAGCGTCGAGACCGTGGTGGTGAAATTACCAGTATCAACAGCTTAGAATATTCGTGCACAAGTGTTTGGCATTATCAGATTTCAGAAACCTGGGGAGCCACATCTTACAACAGCGGAGTGTACCGCATTAAATGCCCTAAGAAAAGACCCCACCATCGTCGTCACGAAAGCCGATAAAGTCAAGACCGTAGTAATAATGAACAAGTCGAATTATGTGGAAAAAATGGAACGGCATTTAACAGCAGGGCCCTAAGAAGTAATTGATAAAAAATCCATATGATCCTAAATGAATAAATGTAAAACAGTGTGTAGGACAACCTAGGACCAGGTAAATCATCATCATCATCATCGTCATTACACGTTAGCTGGAGGTGGAAAACACCAGGTAAATGGTATAGCGTAAATCCGAAATCAACGATTCCGCCTAGGATCTAAGGGCTACCGAAAATACATAAGCCCGAAGTTCCCGTTCGATCCATTGTAGATGGTATCGATTCTCCGACACACGAACTAGCCCGATATTTGGGTAGTTTCTCGCAACCTCTAACACGGAGAACAAATACCTTCGTACGGAACTCCAATGAGTTCGCGTGAAAAGTAGCAGGTTTGGCTATCGCGTCAAGCGCAAAAATGGTTAGCTTCGACGTTAGCTCCCTATTCACTAATGTGCCCAAAGATGACGCATTGGGAGTAGGACAACGTTGTCTGACTGTGGACAATAGCTTGGAGGAGCGAAGGAAACTCACGGTAGACCAGATAATCAATGGAATTAAAGTAGGCCTTAATATGTCATATTTCACGTTCCAGTCGACACTGTACTCTCAGGAACACGGACTTGCCATGGGGTCACCAATATCCCCCGTGTTGACCACTCTGTATACGGAAAACTTTGAAAGGACGGCGCTGACAAACTCCAGTTGTTCGCCATAGGTTTGGTAGCGCTACATGGATGACATAGTTATGAGTATAAAGCGGGATTTAAAGGATGAGTTTCTAAACCATATGAACTCCATTAATGGAAAGATACACTTTACAATGGAAATGGAATGTTGCAGTGGCACACTGCCATTCCTCGATTGCTTAGTGCATCGGAACGGTGGACGGTTAGAGACGACGATATATCGCAAGCCGACGGATACGGACGGAGTACTCCATTACAGTTTGGGTAATCCAAAACAAGCCTATGTCGCTATCGCATCCTCAGTTTCACAGAGACTCTGTAGAGGGGAGGAGGACAGAAAGGCCGCTCTAAAGGAGACGGTGGGCAACTTAATAGACAGTGGATATCCGAGGGGGTATTAAAAACGCCAATTGCAATGAGCACTGAATCCACCTCCGCGAAGCACAACGGAGCGGATCGGGACGGGGGGGAATCCTCTATGAAAAGAGAACCTCGGAAGCAATCAGGCCAGTGGTAAACAAGGAGAAAATAAGTGGTTTTTCAAAAGTGTTACACGCGCCGTTCAGTACTGAGGTGTTTGAAGGATCCGCTTCCAAGGGATGGGACGATAAACTGCGTTGATAAAACCAGTTGCAAAGACTGCGAACACATGTATGTAGGTCAAAGAGTCAGAGAGAACTACGCGCGAGGAAAGCCAGAACGCAAGAGGCACGTTTCGCACCCACCGAGAAATGAGCCCTAATACAGCGCCCTACTGAGAGATTAAGCGTTGGCCGTACATACCCTGGACACAGGACACGAGATTGATTAGGCCAATGTCGAGATACTTAAGAGCGGGTTACAAGCAACAAGCCAAAGGTTAGTTGCTGAGGCGATCGAGATTACTAAAACTAAGAACTGTGTGAACAGAACGGACGGGGTGGAGTTATCGAACGCATGGTGCTGTCTTACCCGGCCAGTCAGAAAAGGTGTCGGCGGACGAACTCAGGTAAGAGCGTGAATCAGCAGCTGCAGGAAAGGAATGCCTCACATCTGAACGACCAGTGAAGTGGATCAATGAGAAACGCTCGATACTTGTTGTTTTTACTAGAATGGCCACTTAACCCATTGACCTGTAACATTATTATACAATGGTCCGAGTTATTTCTTGTAATCTTCACCGTAATTTCCGATAAAATGCTAAGCCACTTGTGTACTGATTCACCTGTCCTGACCTTGCGTCAAGAGCGAAACGTTGCCATAAAAACCTACAAAAACCGATTTGAATTCGAAACCTTCTGAAATCATGCGATCCCAGTCGGCTCCAAGCATATTCCGAGATATTGCATTCGTAGTAAGGGCATTTTAGCAGATCAGACAGTTCCGTTCTACCAGACGACGGTTAGGTGCAGTGCCACCTAAACTTCGTGCATAGTTAAACAAACGGCTAGTTTGCTGCACCAGGTGAAAGTTCTCAAGTGAGTTTGGGATCACTACAAAGAATAGTGGTTTACATAAAAAGACAGTTATACACATCATCACTGAAACGGGATTTATACATCTGACGTTGGACAATACTGGATTCGATAGTGACAAACACTGGACTGACAGCGATATCAGTGGTCACCGGACGGAGCCGGCTTGCCTTCCAGGTTGGACGCCATGCCCTCCTTATTTGGCATGGGATTTTACATCACGTGGCCTGCAGCTGTAGTTATTGACTTATCTAAGATAGTCTCCTAGTCGCTATGCGTGTGGTACTGAGTCACTGGTGGAGTTTGAAGTTGATTATGATGCGTTCACCACACAGTCCTCAACAGAATCACCTGACACACTAAACACTGTTAGAGGGCCGACAATCTACGCGTACGTTGTTGCTACCCATATGACTGATGCACCTCGCATTGCAACTCCACCCGCCGCCAAACCAGTTACTACTACCAATACCACCACGGCACTCAAGACCCCATCATTTGTCCAACCGAAAAAAGCAGTCACTGGTACCTCCAAAAAGGAGAACATGAAATATTACCATTATTCGCTAACTGTTATATGCTCTAATGTGACTGAATCCGGACGAACTCCATAAAAGATAAGATCCTAGACGACAAAAGCAGTGGCACTCCCTTTGTCAACTAATAGGAGTTAAAGCTAAACCAGTCAGTATGATGCGTCTCGTCCGTCACTTAAACTCCGTATGCTACGATGAACCGCGGTTACTCCAGGTAACACTTCAGTCAGGTAATGATGCGGAGGCAGTTCTCTTGTCAGCCACTCGCGTCCGTACATCCATATGAACTGCTCGAATATTTCCAGATTTTCCCGGAGCGAACGCCAGAAACGCAAACAAAATCCGGACGAGTACCGTAAACAACAAGACGCAAAATCTATCCTTGTTCACGATGTCCCCGAGCTCCAGTCACTAAGCGAGCTAGAGATCAAAGCGCATGACTAGGATGAATGGCGTTTTATTCGTAAAGTACTCTCACTCGAAAATGTTACCAGGAATCCGACATCAAGATTACCGCTATCACCTAACTACAAAGGGTGTGGTCCCCGAGTGATGAAAGTCTCATTGCACTCCGAACTTTTGGCAGAACATGTGACCAAAAAGTGGCACAAAAAGCTTAAAATGCTACCATCCGAAATACTTATAAAGGCGATAGGTACCGGGCCACAGATGGACAATGTAACGCTGAGCAAGCAACTCACCAATAAACTTCAGTCACCGAGAAGCTCAGAACCGAGACAATGACAAAAAACACCGGCAGCTGAAGGAGGACGGGATGGTCACCCTCTTGTTGGCGCTGTGAGCTCTATACAATAACCTGAACTTGGCCTTTGGTCTGCGTCATCGGTTTGACAAAAGTAACGACGGCAGCCTATCCCTCAATGGTCGGCATAGACTGTCACCGGAAACCACCATTCACAAACACGCTTCTGACCACCGATGCCCTCAATTGCTTGTGTGCCCATGCACAAGGTCTTCCCAGCAAAGTAACCGAACTTCCTGTTCGTAAGGTCTCCACGCCTTGTGACCTAGTTATGGTCACCGAAACATGGCTGAACACGGAGATCACGGATGCTGGGATGGCACTACCCGGCATGACTTCCATACGAAACGACCGACCTAGCAGAGGAGGGGGAGTGCTCCTGTATTATCGATCCGACCTGCATGTTGATATCATTGAGGACGCAGCAACGCAAGTCGTCGATTCTCTTTGGTGTCGTATGCACCTAAGACGCGGTAGTGTGTGTTTACTAGCCATAGTTTACCGCCCTCCAATGTCCACCTTGGAAATGGACGAATGCCTAGCTTCTGCGATGAAACGTCTCCTGGTACGACCATACATCCACGTCCTTCTGGTGGGG